GAGAGAGAGAGAGAGAGAGAGAGAGAGAGAGAGAGAGAGAGAGAGAGAGAGAGAGAGAGAGAGAGAGGTAACCGTCTACTTCACGAACTCAGCGAAGTGGCTGTTACCCCTCTCCTTCTCTCTTTTAATGCATAAGAGCCACCTTTTTGGTCCTACACAGTCATGAGGAGGATGGGTGATCTTGTCAGGGATAGGTAGCTTTCTTTTGTCTTTTTTCTCTTTTCTTTTCTTCTTCAGAATTCGCAGGGGCCACACTAATCTTCCCATTTCCAAAGAAAACAGAAAGAAAACAAAGAAAAAAGAACAAAGAAAGAAAAAGAAAAAAAAGAAAAAAAGAAAAAGAAAACAAAGGAAAAAGCAGTCTTTCTGAACTCAATACAAGCTCATCCTTACTGTATAGGACCTGAAGGACACAACGTGCCCTCATCGAAGTTCAAAATTTCAAAAACTTCACTGGGGACGCATTGAGTTTGTGAACTTCAGTAAGGGTGCGTTGTGTGGTCGAATGCCTACAAGTCTAGTACAAGACCTTTCAGGTCCGACGGAGTCATGATGAGGGTGTGTGGTGTTCGTGAACTTCGATGCACCCTCATCATCACTGTATAGGATATGCAAGCTAGCCTGTTATTCGTTGCGCCCTGTGGGCAGGGTACGCTCGCATCACACATCGGCACACCGCAACCCCGCAGGTGCACTGCAAGTATGGTTCATATTCAACATCTCATATATGTCTGTGGATCCTTTTCTCAAGTTTTCCGCTTCTATTGTGTCATTCGTCTATTTTTCGTTCTCCATGCCAATGCTACCGTCTTCCCCCGAATAGAATGTGCGGTCATTATCGCTGTATCTAGACTGAAAGTTGTCCCAAATGCAGGCGTAATTACCATACATTCTGTTCAGGTGAAGATGGGGATAACTTTATTCAAATGTCGGAGAGACGCCTGTCTTCCTGTCTGTCTGCGTATCTGCCTGCCCGTCTGCAGCAGCATGTCTTCCTGCATGGAGCGCCTGTCTGCACGTGCTGTCTGCCTAGAGGCGCTTAGTCCTGGAGGTGGATTTTTGGGATGTAGAGCTTGAGGAGGGCTTTCATGTTACTATCAGAGGGCTATTCCCCCTCGCAGAGACGTCCACCGAGATGTCTAATCTTGCTACCCATGCATTTGTCCCAGATTAAGGAACAAGGGATGTTGATGTTGGTCTGCGTAGAGGGATGGGGTGCCATACGTATGGACTGAAAACCCGCTGATTTTTTAAGCTAAGTAACATTCTTTTTCTTGTGGGTGTTTTTGTTCCTCAAAGACTGGGAATGCCCCCTCTCCTCACCAAGCTGTAAATTCCTGTAATCATGTGTAGTAATTTCTTTGTGTGGTTTGTGTACTCATTTCTATTTCTTCTCTGATTCCTTCTCAGCCAACCGATAGTACACAGCCACAGCCTTGCAGAAAGTCGCGACTTGCCAAATCCGAACTTTTCGGGGCTCGGGGCTACCGGACCACAACGGCTGGTGTCGCCAGCCAAAAGAGAAAAAAAGTGCATGGCTGGCAGTTCAGAAAAGCTTGGCGCTCAGTGCAGCGCCTGCATGCCTGGGTGCACTGGTGGTTTAAACAACGACTCTGTTTTTTCGACCATCCTGTAGGCTGCACTATTGGTTAACGGGGACCTCTACGTCAGAACTGGGGGTGCCAGATTGGCCTGCGATCCGGCCAATCAACTGAAAAAAATAGAGGGGCTGCAGTAACTATGTCGGCTGCGGAAATGGGAACTTGGTGGTGGTTTGAAGGGAGCGGTTCTGTGTTTGCCGGCTGTCTTGGGAGTGCTCATAGTCATCCTCTTCCTGACAGCTGTACAGAATTGTACCAGCGTATAACCAAAGATTGCATCTGTCGAACTAACTCCTTGTCTTGGTCTGATGTTCTGCTTGCTTGTCGCTTTGTGTTTTTTGAACTTTTTTTTCCACTATTGCTTAAATTATGCAGATGGTTCAGCGGCTTAATGAAGGAGCATTGCCACCAGATCTCGGACCACTGGACTACACTGGTCTTTACAAGGTTACCAAGGCAGTCCAACCCAAACGGAAATCAATGAGGCACACACTTTCTCTCTGTCCGTTCCCCTCTCCCTTCCTCTCTCCCTTCATCTCTCGCTTCCTCTCTCGCTTCCTCTCTCACTTCCTCTCTCGCGTCCTCTCTCGCTTCCTCTCTCGCTTCCTCTCTCGCCTCCTCTCTCGCTTTCTCTCTCGCTTCCTCCCTCTAACAGCTTCTCATGCCTACACTGGTTCTTACAAGGTTACTAAGGATGTTCAACCCGAACGGAAATCAACGAGGCACACACTTTGTGTCTGTCCCTTCGCCCTCTCCCTCCCTTCTCCTCTCCCTCTTCCTCTCCCTCTTCCTCTCCCTCTTCCTCTTCCTCTCTTCCTCTCTCCCTTTCTCTTCCCTCCTGCCTTCCAAGTGCTTCTCATGCCAATCTACCCAGTCCGTTTGCATTTGCTGTCGAGAACTCACCCGTGTACCCTTTCTGTTTTTTTTTTTTTTTTTGTTTGTTTTTTTGTTCATTGTTTTGTCAGATTTTTGAACATCGTTTTTCTTAAATTTTTTAAAGGGTGTTAGCCCCGAACATCACTACATTCATCTGCTTCCATCAGGCAACACATCATTACACCTTGACACTTTCATTTCTGTTTCTTCCTCTTAACCCCTGAGTACAGGAGAGCAGTGG